GAAAATGTCACAGAGGAGCTGACAGCTTATCACTGCATAATACACCAGGAGTCGTTATGTGACATGTAATGACCATCATAACGTGTGCAGTTAACTTCATCAGAAGTTTAAATCACCGCCAGTTCAGGGCATTTCTGGGAGCGTTAGATACAGAGCATGGTGACTTGCCCTATCACACAGATGTGCGATGGCCAAGCCAGGGAAAGGTGCTGCAAAGATGTTTCGAGCTTCGTGAGGAGATCTGTCTGTTCATGGAAAGCAAAAGGAAAGACGCACCAGAGCTTTGAGATGAAACATTTATGTGTGAAATGGCGTTTCTGTGCGACATCACAAGCCATCTGAACGTGATGAACCTGCAACTGCAGGGACGGGGGCGTGTCATCTCTGATATGTGCAGTACGGTGACGGCGTTTCAAACCAAGCTGAGTCTGTGGGAGACGCAGAAAGAAACCTTGAGCCACTTCCCCAGCTGCCAGACCACGAAAGAGAAGCGCTCTACCGCTCAACATACTTGCCGCCGAGTTCCGACGCCGATCTGCTGACTTTGAAGCTCAAAGAAGCAGGTTTGAACTACTTGCCAATCCTTTTGGAGTTGATGTGGAAAGCGCACCACCGAACCTCCAGATGGAGTCGATTGAGCTCCAGTGCAATGACACACTGAGGGGAAAATATGAGAGAGCGGGTGCTGCTGAGTTTGCACGTTTCATCCCCGACACAATGCCTCAGCTGCGCATCCAAGCTGCTCAGACGCTCTCCACGTTTGGCAGCACATACCTGTGTGAACAGTTGTTCTCTTTGATGAAGCTAAAAACATCACACCGGAGCCGTCTTACTGATAAACACCTTGACTCAATCCTGAGGACTTCCTCAGCTCAGAGCCCGACCCCGAACATTGATGAACTTTTGTCTGTGTTTTGTCTGTGTGAAATGAAAAAGCTCAAGGTCATTTCCTGAACGGCTGTTTTACTTTTCACACTACAGTGTTTAGACTCCACACAGCCATTTGTCTTTAAGAACACTGTGGTGTTACTGCTGCTTCAGTAACAACAACATTCAGTTCTTCAAAGATATGCTGTGGAGTGTCTGAGAAGCACAATGTAAATAATACAGTAACTGTTAATAAGACAACACATTTAAAATCCTGCAGACTGTATTCTTTATTGTATAATGCAAATGAGCACAACAATGTACAGAACCTCCTTCCATTTTTATATATCAATTTTTTCAACTATATAATCCGAAAGTTCAATTTCATTCTGTTTTATCCACCAGCTAGAGTCCTGGAGTAATATAAACTATTCAGCTATAGTGGCACACTTAGGTATAAACAAAATAAAATATATAAGGAGACCCCCCCACACACGCACACACACACATACACTGGTTGTGTGAAAATCATCAGCCAACCCTACTGGTTATAACCGTTTATAGGAATGGCTTCATGACAAGCAAATAATTTTCAGTTCAGTTATCTACTAAAAGCATACAATGGGTTGAAAGTGAACACCGAAGAGAAATAAAACATGGTGCAGGTACATGTCATCAATTATGCCAACTGATCAACAACTATGAAGTATTCTCAACTCTAATAAAGCATGGGATAGGTGACATTATCAGCTTAATTTCCACAGCCAGTGTGTACATCAGGATGTCAGAGGTCAAAGGTCCAGCGCCTCCAACCTTTTTTAACCTCATCCACCAGATGAGGGTCCTCTCCTGCCAGGTCTCCAGGAACAAGAACCTCCTCCCTGTCCAGTGAGGGGATTGTAATCTGTAAAACATGCAAAGAATAAAGGAAGCAGACAAAAGAAACATTTAACACATTAAAACTGTTTATTAAGCTTTTTGTTCTAAAACGCAGAGAGTTGAGGTTTTTTGAGTTTTTGCTTTGTAATAAACTTCAAATCAGTGTTTCAGCTGATCTGTTCTTACAGCCAATATTCCAGTAGGGAAAAACTATTTGATCATTTGTTCACTTTCAAACTTCTTTTCAAGTGTGCTCACCTCCAAAGGAAAAAAAAAAAAAAAAGAGTAATTTTTGATGGTAATTCCATTCATTTAATTTCTTAATGATATAGAGAGAATATCAATGAGAAATGTCTCGATGCAGTTAACTACGATGACCTGGATGACTGAGAACCTTCACAGACTTGATGCAGTTAAGGAAATTCCAAGTTGACTCGGTTCCTCTGGATATAACGTTATCACTGGGAGAAACGTTTCGTCATCATCCAACTGCCTTCTTCAGTCTCAGCTGACTGCAGGTTCCCCCGCTCAAACTCAATGTGTATATTGTCATCATTGAAAAAGTTTCCACAACGTCACATGATACGGTCAGACTGAGCGGACGGTCTTTCCTCAGCTCCCACTGGTACATGTTCATGTAATGATTCCTACTTTCTGTACAACCTCGAAAAAGACGCCTCCCACAAGAGCTGCAAAATCTGTATCCAACAAATCCCGAAAAGTCAGAAGTGAATGAGGGCTAAGGAGGTCTATGTGATCATTCATTAGTAAGCATAACTATTTACCTGCCTGATTTTGACCCTTATTCACACCAGCGGAGGATGACTGCATATTTAACAAACAGTCCTGTATTTATTGAGTACATCACTAAACAGTGGAATGTTTTTATATAAGTCCATCGACAAGAAGCTTGGTGACAACTGTGATTATTCAGAAACAGAAGAAACATCAATAACCCAAGGTCTGGAGCTACATGCACCCTTGCTCATGGTGTGAGGACGATCATGAAAAAGGAGGCGGATCAGCCCTGAACTGCACAAGAGGAGCTTGTTAATGATCTAAAAGCAGTTGGGACCGAAGTCACCAAGAACACCACTGGTAACACATTAGGCCATATTAGACTTATCTTGCAGCACCCACAAGATCCCCCTGTGGCGTCGCATATACGCATATATTTTTAAGACTATGAGTTCTTTTCTAAATGTACCACAGTCGACCACCCTGAAAGCCGTTGCTGACGTATGTAATCAATTCCTTTCTTTGTAAACAAGGTTGAGTCTATCAGGTCAGGAATAGTATTTTCTACACAATCATTTCTTGGGATTGAAGTGTTTTGAGAAACTGGTCCGACGCCACATGATGTCCTGGCTGCCACCCAACACTCTACCCACTCCAGATCGGATACAGCAAACAGATCAACTGAAGGCACCACTGTTACAACGATCCACACCACAATCTCCCAGCTAGAACAACAAAGGGCGTTACACCAGGCTGCACTTTGTTTTTGTTTTTTTTAAGTATGTTTATTGAGATTTTTTGATATAAGGAAAAAAAAAAGACAAAAAAGCAACAGACAACACAGCAGCAAGGGCAAAAACACACAAATAAGGCAAAAGATTACACTGCAACGACAAAAATACTACTTCAACACTGGCAATAAACAGAAATAAAACGCTAAGGTGGTAGGCTGAGTTATTGGTGATCGATCAAACAGGACTTTGTTTTAATACATGGTCTAAAAATGGCTGCCACACATCAAAGAAATTACTACTAATCCTCTCCATGTGCAGTAGAGCAGTCAGTTCTGTCAGCCACATTTTGAATTGAGGTACAATATACGACTCCCACAGAGTCAAGATAGTTTTCTTAGCAATTACCATTCTGAACAAAACTGTAGTTTGTGTAAAAGGGAAGAGGAAGATCCAAACAATGCAGTTATTGGGTCCGGCTCTAATGTGCGATTATAGATACCAGAAAAACATTTAAAAATGTCCAACCAATAGTTATGCAATTTGGGACAAGTCCAAAATAAACGAGTGAGAGAGCCTTCTCCAAGTTTACAACGATCACATATCGGACTGATAGAAGGAAAAATCCTGTGCAGTTTAGTTTTTGAATAATGACGTCTGTGAAGCACTTTGAATTGAATCAACCGATGCCTGCATTTATAGAGCAGCAATGGATCCTACACAGACTCCTCTCCCACACCTCATCTCCTATTTGCAAACCAAGCTCCTCCTACCATGCCATCTTCAAAAAGTCAGATTGAAAATTTAAATACTCAGAAAAAGCTTTCACAAAACCAGAAACCAACTTTTTAGAATCCGGGGAACTCAGACGGAGAGCAAAAGTTGACCCCTCTTCCAGAAGAGATGGAAAATTTAGGATACTCTGACGAACATAGTTTCTTATCTGTAAATAATGAAAAAAATGTGACGCACGGAGAGAGAACTTGTTCTGCAACTGAGTAAATGACGCAAACTGCCTGTCAATATATAAATCTTTGAGAGTAATAATACCTTTCTGTGTCCAGACCTCAAATAAGGCGTCTAAACATGAGGGTGGAAATGCATGATTACAATATGCTGGAGTATGGATCGAAGTGTCCGGTAGAGCACAACCTTTTTTGATCTGACGGAAGATTTTAACGCAATTCGAAACTATAAAATTATTGACCTTGGTTCGCGGATTAGAGGACGAAAAAAGAAGAGCAGGGAGGGAACGATTCTCCACCCCACCACTCTCTGTGACCACCCGGGGTGGGGTCTTGGCAGACATGACCTTTCTGTACCCTTCCTGCCAGTGAGCAGGAGTTCTGGCGTTTGCAGCCCAATAATAAAACTGAAACTGTGTCAGAGCAAATCCACCCGTAAGTTTAGACTTGCATAGATGAACTTTTGGTATCCTGTGAGCTTTAAAGCCCCAAACACATGGTAATACTACTGAGTCGACCACTTTAAAAAGTTGCTTATTCAAAAAGATAGGTGAGTTTAAAAATAAATATAGAAATTTAGGAAGGGAAACCATTTTGATTACATTAATGCGACCTACCATGGGAATAGGGAGAGCCCTCCATTTCTCAATGTCCTTTTTCAATTTTTCAACTTGTTCAAGATAATTCAACTTAAAGATCAATTTAGGATTCTTAGGCAAAATAACACCAAGTATTTCAATCTGTCTGTAATTTTAAAAGGCAAAATTTTCAAAAGATCAACATCCAAGTTAAAGCCACAAACTCACTCTTCTGCCAATTAATTGTATAACCTGAGATTTCCCCAAACGACCTCACCACATCTAAGAGTACAGGAACAGATCGCTCAGGGTTTGACAAGAACAAAACAACATCATCTGCATATGAAGAACAAGCTGCTCTTTGTTGACTTTAGTTCTACGTTAACTGATACAGACGGACAGTAAAACTGCTGCATATTGGACTTCCTTTTATCAGAAACTTCTCTTGGCCTGTGTACAGAGAGTTAGAGTGGGACCTCAGCTTTCATCAGCCTTTACACCGGCTCTCCACAAGGCTGTTTACTAAGTCCCTTCCTGAACACTCCGTACACACATGACTCTGTCAGTACCCAACCAAGACAATGCAGTCATTAAGTTCACAGATGACACCACCGCTGTGGGGCTCATCTCTGGGGGAGACGAAACAGCGTACAGAGCTGAGGCTCAGATGCTATTGGATTGGTGCGCAGACAACAACCTGGTATTGGACTTCAGAAGGACGAAGTCAGTGCTACAGCCCATCAGCATCAACAGGAAGTGTTTGGAAAGGGTGTCCAGTTTCAAGTTCCTGGGTGTGCACATAGACACCGACCTCCAATTGAGCTCAAATACCTGAGAGGTTTTAAAGAAGGCCCAACAGCATCTCCATTTTCTGAGAATCCTCCAAAAATGGACCTGAAGAGGGAGCTGCTCATCGTCTTCTACTGTTGTGCCATTGAAAGTGTGCTGACATACTGTACTGTATCTCCAGCTGCACCATGGCCAGTGTTGGGGAGTAACGGAATACATGTACCGCCGTTACGTATTTAGAATACAAAATATGAGTAACTGTATTCCGTTACAGTTACCGTTTAAAAAGGTGGTATTCAGAATACAGTTACTTTGTTGAAATAAATGGA